CTGTCCAGGCCTACACGAGATGAGGCAGGATAAAGAGGGATAATTCCCCTCGATCCCAAATCATTGAGGCCAATTTCTAGCCATAGAATAATGGCGCGATTACATTAATCTAGCTACCATCTGTCAAAGTTTGTCATAGAGCTTGCAATTTCTTCTGGAAACAAAGTTAAAGGTTTGCACTACAACATTAATGCTGCACATAGGTACTATTGCGGTTGACGCCATTTTCGACATGCTGCGTTAGTTAAAGAAACACAAAAATATGTGGAAACGGATTTCGACAATGTCTGTCCATCCCTATGATTTTTTCTAATTTCACAATTATTATTTGCAATTCGTCTGAAGGCAATAATAAATAGAATCTGTTACAACATTATATTTTGAGTTAGTTCTAATAAGTGTCGTTTTAGATTTTATTTTTGTTAACAAAAACAGCATATTTACCTTGCATCAGCTTAACTATCCTCCGGTAATGATTATCGTTCACGATCCTTCCAAAATCCGGAGATTCTTTAACATCATCTCCAAACCAAGTCTTGATTTGCGATTTTGCCGCCTGTATGAACTTCTTCTCCATTTCCTTACTGCACAGTATAAAATCTGGGGCTACGCAACTCTGACCAGCGTTGATACATTTCCCCCACAATATCCTACTGACGGCCAAATTTACATCAACTCTATCGTCCACGTAAACCGGAGTCTTCCCTCCAAGTTCCAAAGTGAGAGGGGTCAAGAATTTGCTTGCCGCTTTTTGAATTATCTTCCCCACACTAGAACAACCGGTGTAGAAGATGTAGTCGAACTTTTGTTCCAGCAGAACTGTGGTTTCTGGAATACCACCAGTCACTACGTGATAGCAGTTCGAGTCCAGATATTTCGGGAATAATTTTGCGATGATTTGGGCGAAATTTGATGTAATTTCGGAAGGTTTAACTACCACGCAGTTTCCCGCTGCTAAAGCTCCTACCATAGGAGATAAACTGATCAAGAGAGGGTAGTTCCAGGGACCTATCACTAACACCACGCCGTAAGGTTCTGGGTAAATGAAAGCCTAAAAAAAAATAAAATTTGTAACTTCAGTAATCACGATAAAGGCACATTGACCATATTAATACAATAGCCAGTTGTTTCTCCCGATTTGAACCTTTTCTTTAAGAGTCCGTTCTCTGTACACTGCTAAGGTATCGCTGCGGGGTCGGGTGCACGGGCGTTACAGCTGGAGGCGGAGACTATCGCTC